AGAGTAGCATCAAAGTCAGCAGTGACTCCTGTATCGACGCCAACATTGACCCCTGATCCGATGCCAACATCGATGGCCATACCGAAGACATCATTGACTCCATTGCCGGAGCATGCATCGACGTCTGCACTGACGCCAACATCGACCCCAGCACCCGCTCCAGCACCCACGCCAGCATCGGCGCCAGCATCGACTCTAGCATCGAAGACAGTATCGACTGCAGCACCGGAATCAGCCTGGACGTCAGCATTGACGCCAGCACCGCCACCCGCATCGAAGCCAGCAGCGATGCCAGCACCGACGCCAGCATCGACCGCAGCGTCGACGCCAATGCGAACATCATCAGAGACCCCAGCATCGACGCCAGCACCGAAGACAGCGCCGACTCCAGCACCAGAGCCCGCATCCATAACGACACCGACACCACCGCCGACTCCAGCATCGAAGCCAGACGCTCCACCTGGCGTGATTACCTATGACATGCAGCATCATAGCACAGAGCGAATGCCACCAGCAGCAGCGCCAAGGCGAGGCGCTCGCTTCGGGCAAATGGGGGAGAGATGCGGTGGTCCTTCAGGTCGCCAGCAACGCTGGCGCTACAACGACGCCCAGACTGACTCATACTGACTCCTGGCCCACATCGACCCCTGCATTTACACCAGCCCCATCGCCAGCATCGGTGCCAGCCTCGACGCTAACATCGAAGCCAACATCGACTCCAGCACCTGAGGTACGATTCACGCCAGCATCGACACCAGCACCGACCCCAGCATCAAGCCAGTAGTTGCGCCAGCATCGACGTCACCAGCGAAGCCAGTATCAAAGACAGGGCTGACCCCGTCATCAAAGCCAGCATCATCGCCAGCATCGGCGCCACCTTGGGAGAGAGCACTGGAGCCAACACCGACCTCAGCACTGACACCAGCTTCGACCTCAGAAGCGACGCCAGCAACGATATCAGCATCGACGACATCATCCGCGCTATCATCCAAGACAGCACCTCCACCGTTGGAACCAGCATCGACGTCAGCATCAATACCAGTACCGACTACAGCATCGAAGCCAGCACTGACGCCAGTATCGAAGATAGCACCGACTCCAGATTCAGAGCCAGCAGTGACGACAGCACCGACGCCTGAATCGACGCCAGCACCAGCGCCAGAATCGACGCCAGCACCGAGTTCAGCACGGATTCCAGCACCGAAGCCAGGAAAGAAGTCGGCATCGACGCCAGCAAAGAGTCCATCATCGACGCCAGCACTTAAGCCAGCACCAACGTCAGCATCGACGCCAGCATCAAAATTATCATTGGCCTCAGCATCCAGGCCAGCACTGACGCCATCATCGACTCTAGCACGGACGGCAGCTAGGACGCCAGCATCGAAGCTGGGAACAAAGACACCATTCACTTCAGCATCGGGGCCAGCGTTGACGACGCCATTAGCACCGACATCGACCATGGCACCGAAGACAGCACTGACGCCAGCACAGACGTCAGCATCGATGCCAGCATTGACGCCAGCATCGGCACCAGCACCGAAGACAGTAGCAAGCCTAGCACCGCAGCCAGCGCTAGCGTCAGCATCGACGCCAGCACCGACCCCGACAATTACGCCAGTACCGACCCCATCATCGACCCCATCATCAGCGCCAGCATCGAAGACGGCAGTGACTCCAGCACCGGAGCCAGCAATTACATCATCACCAACTCCAGCATCGTTTTCAGCATCGACGCCAGTACCCACTCAAATATCGACCCCCGCATTAACGGCAGCATGCAAGGCAGAAGTGACTCCAGCATTGGAGCCGCAGCGGCGCCAGCATCCACGCCAGCATTCACTCCAGCATCCAAGGCGCCAATCACGCCAGCATCGAAGGGTAGATTCAGCCAAGCCTCGCAGCCATCATCGACGTCGGCATCGGCATTGGCCCCGCATCCAGAATCGACGCCGACACTAACGCCATAATCGACGCCAGCAACGACACAAGCATCGAGGACAGCGCCGACTCCAGCACGGGTGCCTGCATCGACGCCCGCACCAACGCTAGCATCGACCCCAGCATCGACTCGAGCAATAACGCCAGCATCGACGCCTGTATCGGCACCAGCATTGTAGACAGTAGTGACCCCAGTGCCGCAGCCAGCACCGATGTCAGCATCGACACCAGCACCGATCCTAGCATTGACCCCAGCACCGACACCAACACCAACCCCATCATCAGCGCCAGCATCGAAGACGGCACTGACTCCAGCACTGGAGCCAGCATCCACGTCATCACCAACACCAGCATCGACGCCAGCACCCACGCCAGCGTCGACCTCCGCGTCGACGCTTACACCGAAGACACCACTCACTTCATCTCACTTCAGCACCCACCGCATTCCAATACTGCGACTTAACAATATGAGGCCCCGTTTGCTCCTACCACGGCGATGTGGACCTGCGACCAGCAGCGATGTCCTTCTCGACACCAGCACCAGCTCCAGCAGCGAAGCACCCTTGACGCCATCACCGACGCCAGCATCGACGCCAGCATCGAAGGCTTTGGTAACCCCAGCCTCAAAGCTAGCGTCGACGTCAGCATCGACACCAACACTGACTCCAGCATCGACGCCTCTATTAAAGGCAGCATCGACGCCAGCGTCGTCAGCAGCACCGAAGACAGCATCGATTCCAGCACAGGAACCTGCATCTACCTCTGCACCGACGCCGGCACCCACGCCGGCACCCACGCCGGCACCCACGCCACCACCGACCCCAGCATCAACGCCAGCACCGACGCCAACGTCGACGCTCGCATCGAGGACAGTACCAGCTCCAGCTCCGGAGCCTGCATCCACTACAGCAAACGACATCGACACCACCACCGAATCCAGCATCGAAACCAGCCCTCGCGACAGCGTCGAGGCCAGGCCTCCTCCGCGCCCAGCAGCGGACACCATGACTGCGACAGCTGCGCTTCGCCGAGCAGCCGCACGACGTCATGCCCGACGCCCCACCCCGCGCTGCACCCGTCGCCCCACCTGGACCAGCAGCAGCGCCACGAGCACCACGGCTGCGTCCGGCAGCGGCGCCACGCCCCGATCGCACCCCACAGACCCACCTGGCTCCCGAGCCTGGCACGACTGCTGGCCCCCGACCTTCCGCATAGACGGACGAGCAGCAGCGCCGGGGGTTGCGGCCAGCATCACCACGACGAGCGCCACGGCGGCGATCAAGTGAAGCACCACCAAGACCTCGACCAACTTCACTACCAAGGCCCCCACCGCGACCAGCAGAATCGCAACCCGCACCGCGAATGTGATCAGGAGCGCCACTACCACCACGGTGGCCACTGGCACCAGCACCACCACGCGCCCTACGCAGCGCCCCATCCGACGCCCTGCCCAGCGACAAGCAGCAGCACCAAGCGCGCTGCGACTCCGACCAACAGCTGCGCCACGGCTGCCACCAGTAGCACTGCCACCAAGGCGACTACCAGCAGCACGCCCAAAAGGACTGCGACCAGCAGCGCCGCAGCGTGCACCGCGGCACTTGCGACGACCAGCATCTCGAGCCTCTGTGGGCCCTTGCAGCCGTGCCCGCACTCCTGGGCAATCAGCTACATCAAGCTGGGTGGTCTCGGGTGGGGAGCGCGGCGGTTGATTGCCCCGCAGCATGCGGCGACCAGGGTCAAAAGTACATCCTGGGATCCACCACCGAAGCTCTCGTGACAGTCGGCGCCAACGCTGAGGTTGAGAACACATGAGCAGCTCCCACAGCTCTGGCGACCAAAACGGATCACCTACCTGTGCCAGGTGCGTAGGAAACGCCTTCGCCATGTGGCGGAGGTCTGTGAGCCATTGCCTTGCCGATGGGGGCTTCAGCCAGGCTGCTACCAGCGCTTTTACCACCAGAGGCCCCGCCCTTGGCAGTGATTGTGGTGATTGTGATTGTGATGGTGACGGTGACGGTGATGGTGTTGGTGTTGGTGTTGGTGATGGTGGTTGTGATGGTGATGATGATGTTGTTGATGATAATGACGATGATGATGATGATGACGATGACGACGATGACGATGACGACGAGGACGATGACGACGAGGAAGATGACGATTACGATGATGGTGATCATGGTGATGATGACGATGGTGGTGATGGTGATGTGATGATGGTGATGGTGATGTGATGGTGGTGATGGAGATGATGGTGATGATGATGCTGATGATGATGCTGATGATGATGATTATGATGATGATGAAATGATGATGGTGATGGGAGTATGTTGATGGTTGTTTTGATGATGAATATTATGATAGTGATGTTGATGATGATGACGGCGATGATTGTGATGATGCTAAAAAAGAGTATGATGATGAGGAGGATGGTGATGAGGATGAGGGTGAGGATGACGATGATGATGATGATGATGATGATGATGATGATGATGATGATGATGATGATGATGATGATGATGATGATGATGATGATCATCATACTGATGATCATGATGATGCTGATGATGATGATGCTGCTGATGCTGATTAGGATGGTGGTGATGATGATGATGTTGGTGATGATGTTGCTGGTGATGATGATGGTATTGGTGCGTTGGTGGTGATGAGGATGCTGCTGCTGCTGCTGAGGCTGAGGTTGAATATGATGCAGATGATGAAGATGCTGATGATGCTGATGATGATTATGATGATGCTGCTGCTGATGATGAGGATGAGTATGAGGATGAGGATGATGATGAGGAAGAGGAAGAGGATTATTCTGATGATTATGCTGTGTTGTTGGACATGAAGATGACGTTTCCGCTGCCTGGAGGAGGATGAGCAGGGCCACGCAGGTGTGTATACACAAGTTCAGACATGCAGCAGCGTGAGGAGGACGAGGGGGAACAGGAGAAGGAGGAGGAGAAGGAGGAGGAGCGTCAGCCGCAGCAGCAGGATCAGGGCCAGGAGCAGGACGAGCCCCAGGCAGGAGGAGGCGCACGTGCCAGCGCGCCACCGCCGAGGGGTGGCCGCCGGATCTTGACGCACCACGCCCGGCCCCGCGCGGGAGGTCGCCCGGCCGCGCCCTCGGCAGCCGATCCCGGGGCGATCGATGGGTTTGTCTGCCCCGCGCAGAGGCGGGGCAGGGGGAGGGGGGAAGGCTTCCTGGAAGCACCCCTGCTCAGAAAGCGCGGGCCTTTCTCTGTAGGTGTGGGGCCGGCGCCTTCTAAGAAGCAGCCTTCTTCGATCTAGGCTTCCTAGATGGGGTCGGAGTAGATGGGGTCGGAGGATCGCGCCGCATCGCCGATGCATCGGCGATGCGGCTCGATTTGGGGCCCAATTTCATCCACGCCGACGCCGCCGATGCATCGCCGACGTCTCCAGTGCATCGCCGATGCATCGCCGATGCATCGGCGATGCATCGCCGATGTATCGGCGATGCGGCGAGATCCTCCGACCCCATCTACTCCGACCCCATCTAGGAGGCCTCTATTCGAAGAAGCTTTTCCCCCTCCCCCTGCCCCCTTCTGCGCGCCGCCAGGATTTCCCCGCGCTGCCCCGGCCCGCGTGTCAATGGCAACGTTAGGGGGGGACAGGCCCAGCGGGGGACGCACCGATCCCCAATCGCTCACTCATCGCCGATGGGGGCCTGCCAGCCCAGCCCGCCCAGGCACACGCGGCTTCGCTCTCGGAGACCACTCGCCGATCTATCGACGATGTATCTCAGGAGGGAAACAAACACAGACACCATTAATCGTGGATTCCCCGGAAAATATGCGAACATATGGAAAGTGGGGGGAAGACGAACATCAAAAGAAATAGGGGGAATCCTGGGACTTGTGTGTATTTATTTGTGCCCCTAGGCCCCTTCAGCATCGCCGCTTCAAGCTCAATGTTTTCCCCCTCCTGAGCCAGCCCTCTCCTCCACGTTGCCCCTCGGCGCGGGCGGGCTCCCAGCGGCGTCCTCGAGCGCGCTGCCCCTTGCCTGTCCAGGCGGCAGGGGGGACGTCGGTCGGGGATCTTGGCATCGCTCGGACGTGTGCATTTTGTCTCGGCGGGGATTATCCAGGAGCATCCTGGATCATCCTGCGAAAAAGCCACGCGCGAAACCGAACAAAACACAGGGAATGGACGTCCGAGCGATGGCCAGGGATGGGTGGGTCGCGAACCCTGTTGCGCGCAGCTGGGTTCGGCCCCGCCACCATGCCTTGCCTCGATCCCGACCCCGGCGCTGAGCGAGGCGCCAAGACACCCGTCCGATCGGTTCCCCTTTCCCTGGCGGACCTCCTCCTCGTCCTCCCCCCCCCGCCGCTCCTCCTCCTCCTCCTCCTCCTCCTCCTCCTCCTCCTCCTCCTCCTCCTCCTCCTCCTCCTCCTCCTCTCCTCCTCCGCCTCCTCCGCCTCCTCCTCCTCCTCCTCCGCCTCCTCCTCCCGCCGAGAGCGCAGGGCTGCTCGCACCATGATCTGGATGTGGCGAATTTCCCCCCGTACACCCCCCCAAGCAGGGCAGCATTCCATCCCGCTTCTGATGCCCCTTCCTCCCCTCCCTCCCTCCAACGCGTCGCAATCCAAAACATCCCTCCATCCCCTCCCGCCCGCCCTCCCTTCCTCCCTCCCTCCCTTCTCCATTCTCTCCTCGCCTTTCGCGTCCCCTCCCCCAGTCCCCTCGCAGCACAGAGCACTCGGCTCTGGCGGCCGCCGACTGCCGCCACCTCCAGTGAGGGCTCTGGCCCGCCAGCGCCGTCCTCCAATGCCACCACCTATACGTCTACACCGATGTCAAGTTTTGTGTATATGCCCTCCGGCCCAGGAGGGCGTCTACTTCGATCCTGGGCCCAGGATGAGCCTGTCCAGGATGGGTGCAAGTGTACAATCGGTGTCCTCCCAAGCCTCCCTCGGGCTGGCGCTGGGCCAGGGCCTCGTGGCCCCGCTCGCGGCGGCAGGTCGAGGTCGCGCTGGCTTGGGGCGCGGAGGATAGCTCCTCCTCCTCCTCCTCCTCCTCCTCCTCCTCCTCCTCCTCCTCCTCCTCCTCCTCCTCCTCCTCCTCCTCCCTCAGCACTCATTTCGCTCAAGCGCAGCGTCGCAGGCACCCCTCGGGTCGTCGCCGTCGCGCCGATGCTGGGCGCGAAGCCGAGCGCGGAGCTCCGCGGCGCCGGCGAGGCCGCCCGCGGAGCTCTCCTCGCGGCCCAGGCCGCCTCTGGACTCGCGGCCGGGAGGTTTTCCTCGGCGACTCGCCTGCTGCGCGCGGCGGAGGCGCTGCTCCGCGCCGCCATGGCCGACGTGATCGGCCCCGCGGCGCAGCGGCCCGCGTTGAAAAGGAGGCAGACGCGCCGCCCTCGGTACGCGTCGGCGTGGGCGCGGCTGGGCGGCGGGCGGCGCTGCCTGGGCTGGGACGCGGCGGTGCCGCGGCTGTGGAGGCGCGCCGCCGACGGCGGCGAGGAGGTCGATGGCCACGAGATGGAGGACGGCGCGGGGGCCGGCCGCAGGCCGCGGCGGCGGGGTCGCGCGCAGCCTGCCCTCTGTGGGCCTCTCTCCCGCTGGTGTCGCGGCCTGGCCTGCCGACGCTGGGCGCGAGCCTGGGGAGGAACTGACCGACGAGTGTCAGGAGGGGAAAAAATACACAGACACAATTAATCGTCGATTCCCCGGAAAATATGGGGAAATATGGGAAGTGGGGGGAAGACAGAAACCCAGAAAATATGGGAAACTATGGAGGATATTTTTATATGTGTGTATTTATTTGTGTGTCCTGGGGCCCCTTCAGAGTGGGCGGACAGCCCCCTCGTGCTGCCTGGCCGCAGTGGCACGGGTTCGCCCCCGACGCGCGCGCGCTGCCGCGGCGGGCCGTTGCTGGGCATGGAGGTGGCCGTCGTCGCGGTCGGGGAGAGCTGTGCCTCCATCCGCTTCGATGCGGACGACCCTTCGGTGCAGCTCATGGAGCCGCTGGAGCTTGGCGTTCGTCTTCGAGAAGCGCCTCTGCACGTCCCTGGTTTGTCGGCCGCGCCCATGCCCCCGATGCAGCGAGGAAGGGCCGCGCCCGCCGCTCGACGTGGCGCGGTGAGGCCTCCCTCTTCTGGGCCAGGCGCTTACGTCACTCGGTCGCGCCTCAGGCTGCTCGTGCCTCCTCCTCCTCCTCATCCTCCTCCCTCCTGGCATCCTGCTCGACAGCTTTGCGTCTAGGCCTTCCGCCAGTCATCCTGGCGCCGGAGCTGCAGTTGCGCACGGCACCTCGCGTTCTCAATCAGAGCGGGGCGATCAGTAAAGTTTTCCAGCCTTGCCTGTCTATAGTGCAAGGGCTGCGTCGTGGAAACTGTTTCGCCAGATGTCTTCCACGTTTGTTCTGGAGAAGTCATGAAATACCCATTTTTCTGCCAGTCAACGTATTTGGATCGACGATTCGATGTTGCATGTATTGGGGTCTCGTCGTTCAGTCGTCACTGCCGCAGTCGCGATCTCGTCGCCGTTGCCATGAAGGAGCACAGTCTCCAGCTTGCCGGCACCAGCGTGGTGACTGACCCGGCGCGTGCCGCCGCCGAGCAGATCGCTTGGCGCTTGAGACGCCGCGGCGTCAAGATCACGGCTGCCCCCCAGGCCCTTCCTGCACCTACATTCCAGGCGATGCTTTGGAAAACCCAAGTTTTCGGCCAGAGTCTCGATTATTCTTAACGTTTCAATGTAAATCCCAAGATTTTGATAGAATTTCTGGGTTTGTATTCAAATTCTGAGACTATGAATTTCTTAACCCATGATTTCTTAAGCATTTCGCAGGGTGTAGGCATCGACGTAGCGGGGGGAAGCAGGCAGGCGAGCAGGACGAGGAGGCAGCGGGCTGTCAAGGGTACTTTAGTCAGCATCGCAGGCTTCGCGGCTGCGCTCCGTCGGCTCGGCGGCACGCCGCCGCCGAGAAGATTGGGGAATTGGCTGGGGCACAGGCGCGTTCCATCTACGGACTGGACGCTCATGGGGCACTGGGACAGCAGCTACAACGTCTTCGGCAGGAGTTAGGTGCAGTGTCAGGGTCTGGCAAGAGGTGAGCGCCTTGCCGCCACTCTGGATGCGCGCGCTCCCCGTCGGAATCCTTGCGCTGCTCTGCTTGCGCCGCGTTTGAAGACTTGGCTTGGCCGCTGGATCAGACTTTCACAATCTTGCGCAGGTATCTTTCGGGCCCAGGCGGGAAGCGGAAGCGATTCCGAGCAACGGGCGGCCGAGGCGCATTTGAGATTTCATTTCGGTCGTTCAGGCGCGCGCGCGAGCCGCAGGTTGGACCCCCCCTGGCCCCCAATGATTGGAAAGGGCCACTGCGTCCCACAGGCGAATTCGCATTTTAATGGGCTTCCCCTGCCGGTGCTTTAGTCTCAGCGGACTAAGCGCAAGGCCTCCTGGAGAAATTGCGCGGCGCTTCGTCCGCCCAGCAGTGGGCACCAGCTGATGCGCATGTCCGCGGCGCAGGCATTGCGGGAGGGGCGGGGGGCCTTTCTCCCCGCGCGCTCGCTCATTCGTCCGTCGGCAGAAACGGAGAGCGGCAGACAGCTGGCTGCAGTTGCGGTTAGTATCTCACCGGGTGGGGGGGGTGGGAGAGAGGGAGTTTCGACCGGGCTTGGCTGGCGTTGACGAGCGCCCGCACTGCAACCTCGCGAATGGCGGTCCGACCCCCGAAGCACTGGAACGCAGACGTTGTTTGCGCCCCGGCAGTTGCGAGCGCCCAGCCTTCGCCGAATCCTTTGACCCTGCGCCCGAGGCGCTGGCGCGAGGAGAACCCGAGGCACGTCTTCCGGCGTGGGGATTGCTGCCGGCCAGTCTGACGTCTGCTGAGCCTCCGCGCCGCCGCCCGCCGTTGAGAAGCGCGGCACCTGCGACCTTCTGGCCAGCGATCGAGTTCCTGGAGCCCCGGGCGCAGGCGCGGCCGACAATCCTCAGGAGGAAAAGAAACACACAGACACAATTAATCTTCGATTTCCCAGAAAATATGGGAAAATATGGGAAGTGGGCGGGAAGACAGAAACCCAGAAAATATGGGAAACTATGCGGGATTATTTTATTTGTGTGTATTTATTTGTGTGTCCTGGGGCCCCTTCAAATCCAGCGGGCGTTTCTGGAGGCGCGTCGGGTGGGCGGGATGGCAGGGGCGAGCATTTGCGAGGCGTCGGGCTCGGTTTACGTGCGGCGCTTGCCAGGGGGCCCCTGGGCTGCCGGGCCCGTCGTTCTCGCGCCCTCATATAAGTCAGGAGGGAAAAAAACACACAGACACAACGAATCGTCGATCCCCACGAAAATATGGGAAAATATGGGAGGGGGGGTGGAAGACGAAAATCCAGAGAATATGGGGAACTATGGGGAATCCTTTTAGTTGTGTGAATTTATCTGTGCGTCCTTGGGCCCCTTCAATAAGGGGAGGGAGGCGCCGGCTCCCAGGGGGGGGAGCTTCGGGGCTTGGAGCTCGCGATCGGGTTAACTTTAGCTGAGCTGGCCTGCGCGGCGAACAACGATCCGGAGGGAAAGAAACACACAGACAATGAATCGTCGATTCCTCAGAAAATATGGGAAAATATGGGAAGTGGGGGGGAAGACAAAAAAAAACCCACTATGGGAACATATGGAGAACATGTTTATTCGTGTGTATTTATTTGTGTGTCCCAGGGCCCCTTCAAGCGAAGAGGTTGCCCGTGGATGGCATCGCCGTTGCGCGGTCGACCCGCAGGTGTGCTCGCTGCTCTGCGACGAGACGCTGGCGTGCTGATGTGAAGGCTCGCATCGGTGCAGTTGTGGGATTTAGTTTGCCCCTCGCGTCGACTACCAGTTTCGAACATACCCCTATCCCTATGTTTGACATCACCTCACCTCGATGCCGTTCTTAAGGATTCCCTCAGTTTCTGAGGGCCTATCCCTAAGATTGTCCTCGCTTTTTGCTCGCCCATCTTAGGGAGAGGGGTAAGTTCGAGGCTGGTTAGTCGACCCGCCCGTCCGAAGCGGAGTTCGGGCGCGACCCCAGCTGGTTGATTGCAGGCAATGGGCCGCAGATGAGATTGCTGCAGCTTCTGACACAGACCGTGCTCGGGTGGCGTAGGGGGGGGCACGTGGCCAGGCTTAAGTCGGGCGTGTCCATCTACAGGAGGAATATTAAAAAAATGGTACGGGGGTAATTGTTTGACCATTTTTTGGGGGGGGGGGGGGGGGTATTTTTGGGTATTTCGGAGGTTGGGGGTGAGATCGAAGTGGAACGGAGAGCCCCCCACCGGGAAATCGGTTTCGGTTTCGTGTTCGTGCGTGCCGTGCGTGCGGGCGAGGCGAAGCTGCTTGGGCGGGCGGGAGGAAAGTCTCCTGTGGCTGAGGCGCGGCCGGACCAAATGATTCTCCCTCCGGCAAGAGGTGGCCGTGTCCCGCCGGTGGTTGGGCCCCGGCCGGACCAAATGATTCTCCTTCCGGCAAGCGGTGGCCCGCGGTGTCCCGCCGGTGTCCCGCCGGTATTTTGGTGTCCCGCTGGTGCGAAAACGATAGTGAGACCGATGACGCAATCGATTATGAGATCGATAGTGAGATCGATAGTGATACCGATGCTGAGATCTATCGTGAGATCGATAGTGAGATCGATAGTGAGATGAATAGTGATATCGATTGTGAGATCGAGTGATATCGATAGGGAGATCGTTAGTGGGATCGATAGCAAGATCCAGAGTGTAATCGATAGTGAGATGAATCGTGATATCGAAAGCGAGATCGATAGTGATATCGATAGCGAGATCGATAGTGGGATCGATAGTGGGATGGATAGTGAGATCGACAGTGAGATCGATTGTGTCCCGTCGGTGTCCCATCGGTGTCCCGCCGGTGTCCTGTGGTTTCACGTGCTGAGATCGATAGTGATATCGATAGTTAGATCGATGAGACCGATAGTGAGAACGATAGTGAGATCGATAGGATTATCAAGACTCGACACCAAGGCTCCCAAGAGCGAGCGGCAACGCAACGATCTCCACTGGCATCGTCAAAACAACAATCACCACTGTTGCCCATTGCTGGCCCCCTCCCCCCCAACCTCCTTATCACCCGCAGGGTGGTCGTATAGGTATCAATGTTTCCCCCCAAACCCGCCTGTGGGGGGACATGCCCGACCTGAGGCCAGGCGGGTGCGCAGGCGTTTGATGAGATCCACGTTGGCCTCGACGGTTGCTTCCTTTGCGGTTCGTGGTGTGTCGAACGCGTCCGGGCGCCCGCCTGCTCCTGCCGCTGCTCTGCCCCCGCCTGCCCCCCCCCCGCCGCCCTCGCCCCTCTGCGTAAGTCGGGCACGTCCCTCTACGGGGGGGCTATGCCCAAATAGTCAAAACATAGAATTGGGAGGATTGTTGTATGTTTTGGGAGCATGTTTAAGTACTTTATTTGGCTACTTTTCATTTTTCGTCCAAAAACCGCCTGCATGGGGAACGCGCCCGACCTGAGCCTTTTCTTGCCCGTGCGTCAGCTCGACGAGTCGGGGGCTCGGCACGCCAGGGGCCGTTGCTCGGCGACCGCGGCCGCCGGGGCGTCGTGGCTGGCCTCGCCGTGCTCGGAGCAGAGGGCGGCGGGTCGGGTGCTCGGGCCCCCGCAGGGCTTCAGGGTCCACGTGTGTGTGTGTGTGTGTGTGTGTGTGTGTGTGCGTGCGTGCGTGCGTGCGTGCGTGTGTGTGTGTGTGTGTGTGTTGTGTGTGTGTGTGTGTGTGTGTGTGTGTGTGTGTGTGTGCGTGCGTGCGTGTGTGTGTGTGTGTGTGTGTGTGTGTGTGTGTGTGTGTGTGTGTGTGTGTGTGTGTGTGTGCGTGCGTGCGTGCGTGCGCGTGTGTGTGTGTGTGTGTGTGTGTGTGCGTGTGCGCGTGTGTGCGTGTGTGCGTGTGCGTGTGCGTGTGCGTGTGCGTGTGCGTGTGCGTGTGCGTGTGCGTGCGTGTGGGGGATTCGCTCATAGCTCTCACAACATGGCCTTCTCTCTGGAGCCTGGAGCTTGGATGTGCGGGTCTTGCGGGTTCTCTGGGCAGCTCGTCGCGCGCGAGCGGCCCGCCCCTGTGGCCCCTGGCGCGTTTGCAAGAAGCGGCGTGAGGTTTTAGACAGGTTTCATCTGGGTCTGCGTTTGTCCAGACCTTATGTGATTGTTTTCATGAGTTTGTCATGGGCCCCGTTCCCAGTCCCATTCCTCCTCCTCCCTCCTCGCCCCCCTCCCTCCTCGTCCCTCTCCTCCTCCTCCTCCTCCTCATCAGCATCAGCAGCATCATTAACATCAGCATCGTCATCACCATCATCACCATCATCACCATCATCACCATCATCACCATCACCATCATCACCATCATCACCATCACCACCATCATCATCATCATCATCATCATCATCATCATCATCATCATCATCATCATCATCATCATCATCATCATCATCATCATCATCATCATCATTCCTCGTCCCCCTCCTCTTCGTCGTCCTCCTCCTCCTCCTCATCCTCCTCCCCATCCTCCTCCCCGTCCCCTCCTTTCTCGCCCCGAGGTCGCCCTGGCCTGGGGCGCGGAGGACTGGCTCGTCGACGGCCGGGCCAGCCAGCTTGTTCGGGGCGGCTGCCGCCGGCGCTTCGTCTCTGCCCAGGGTCGGTGTCGGGCTGCCCGACCCCTTCGGGGCGAAGGGGTGGGGCGAGGAGAGGGGGGCGGGGAGGGGTAGGGGGGAAGGGTGAGAAGGGGTGGAAGGGAGGGGGAGGGGGGGGGGAGCGGGGAGTGGAGGGAGCGAGGAAGAGACGGAAGGAGAGAGGGAGGGAGGGAGAAAGGAGCGAAAGGGGGACGGATGGACGGAGGGAAGGAGGGAGGGAGGGTGGGGGGGAGGCGGGGAGGGAAGGAGGGAGGAGGAGGGCGGAGGGAGGAGGGAGAAGGGGAGGGAGGTAGGGAGGGAGGAAGAGGAGGACGAGGAGGAGGTGGAGGAGGAGGAGGAAAACCATTTGGAGCAGGAGCAGGTGGAGCAGGAGGCGGAGGCGGAGGCGGAAACGGAGGTGGAGGATGAGGAGGAGGAGGCGGAGGAGCCGGAGGAGGAGTAGGAGGAGGAGGAGGTGGCGGAGGAAAAGGACGAGGAGGACGAGGAGGACGAGGATGAAAACGAGTGCGAGGATAAGGACGAGGACGAGGACGAGGAGGAGGAAAGGAGGAGGAAGAGGAGGAGGAGGAGGAGGAGGATGAGGAGGAGAGGAGGAGGAGGAGGACGAGGAGGAGGAGGAGGAGGAGGAGGAGGAGGAGGGAGGAGGAGGAGGAAAGAGGAGGAAGAGGAGGAGGAGGAGGAGGAGGAGGAGGAGGAGGAGGAGGAGGAGAGGAGGGGAGAAAAACAGGACGAAGAGGATGGGGACGAGGAAGAGGAGGAGGAGGAGGAAGGAGTAGGTGGAGGAGGAGATGGACGAGGAGGAGGAGGAGGAAGATGTGGAGGAGAAGAAGGAGGAGGATGAGAGGAGGAGGAGGAGAGGAGGAGGGAGGAAGAGGAGCAGGAAATGGAGAGGATGTGGAGGAGGAGGAGGAGGAGGAGGAGGAGGAGGAGGAGGAGGAGGAGGATGATGATGCCCGCGGGGTGAGGCGGACCGCGTCGAGCCACGGCCACCCCTGCGAGGCGCGCGCCCCACGCGCGCCCGCGCCTCGGCGCAGCTACGCGCCCGAGGCTGTCGGCCAGGCCTCACCCCGCGCGGCCCGCAGCAGCCTCGCCACCTTGGCGGCCAAGCCTGGCGAGCTGCTGCGCTCCCGCGCGCAGCGCCGCGGCCTCGGCCAGCCGCCTCCGCCGCCCGCAGCCCCTGCTTCGCATCGAGCAGCAGAGCCACCTGCAGGCGGCATGCTCTCCTCCTGCGACCTGTCCTCCAAGTCCACGCTGTCGCCGCCCGCAGCCCCTGCTTCGCATCGAGCAGCAGGTTCACCTGCAGGCGGCTGGACCACCTCCTGCGACCTGGCCCCTCTGGCCTCGCGTGGCGGGGGCGGTCCGCCGCCGCTGCCACCTGCAGCCACCTCGCCTCCTCTCTCGGCAGGGCCCGCCTCAGGCCGCTGGCTCTCCTCCTGCTGCTTGGCCACCTTGGCCGCCCGCCTCGGCGACTGCGAGGGCGGCGTCAGCGCGGCCTGCCTCGGCGAGCTGCTGCGCACACGCGCGCGGCGCCTCGGGCCTGGCCCTCCGCCGCCGCCCGCAGGCCCCGCCTCGCCTCCTGCCGCGGCCTGGCGCCTCGGCGAGCTGCTGCGCACACGCGTGCGGCGCCGCGGGCCTGGCCCGCCGCCGCCGCCCGCAGGCCCTGCCTCGCCTCCTGCCGCGGCCTGGCGCGCCGCGGCTGCACGCCTGCCGCCAGCTCGCCCTCTCGGGCCAGCCGCCACGCTGGAGCCCTCAGGGGTCAGGGGACGCAGGGAGTCCTCGCCCTCCCCCTCCCCGCCACCTGGAGCTCCTCCTGGCGGGCGCAAGGAGTGGCCGTCCTCCTCCCCCGCGATGTGCCGCGGCGGCTGGCCTCTCCCCTCCTGCACGTCGTCCGCCAGCATCGGCGGGGGCGGTCCGCCGCCGCTGCCACCTGCAGCCACCCCGTCTTCTCCCTCGGCGGGGCCCGCCTCAGGCCGCTGGCTCTCCTCCTGCTGCTGCTTTGCCACCTTGGCCGCCCGCTTCGGCGACAGCGAGGGCGGCGTCAGAGCGGCTTGCCTCGGTGAGCTGCTGCGCACGCGCGCGCGGCGCCTCGGGCCTGGCCCTCCGCCGCCGCCCGCAGGCCCCGCCTCGCCTCCTGCCGCGGCCTGGCGCCTCGGCGAGCTGCTGCGCACACGCGTGCGGCGCCGCGGGCCTGGCCCGCCGCCGCCGCCCGCAGGCCCTGCCTCGCCTCCTGCCGCGGCCTGGCGCGCCGCGGCTGCACGCCTGCCGCCAGCTCGCCCTCTCGGGCCAGCCGCCACGCTGGAGCCCTCAGGGGTCAGGGGACGCAGGGAGTCCTCGCCCTCCCCCTCCCCGCCACCTGGAGCTCCTCCTGGCGGGCGCAAGGAGTGGCCGTCCTCCTCCCCCGCGATGTGCCGCGGCGGCTGGCCTCTCCCCTCCTGCACGTCGTCCGCCAGCATCGGCGGGGGCGGTCCGCCGCCGCTGCCACCTGCAGCCACCCCGTCTTCTCCCTCGGCGGGGCCCGCCTCAGGCCGCTGGCTCTCCTCCTGCTGCTGCTTGGCCACCTTGGCCGCCCGCTTCGGCGACAGCGAGGGCGGCGTCAGAGCGGCTTGCCTCGGTGAGCTGCTGCGCACGCGCGCGCGGCGCCGCGGGCCTGGCCCGTCGCCGCCGCCCGCAGGCCCTGCCTCGCCTCCTGCCGCGGCCTGGCGTGCCGCGGCTGCACGCCTGCCGCCAGCTCGCCCTCTCGGGCCAGCCGCCGCGCTGGAGCCCTCAGGGGTCAGGGGACGCAGGGAGTCCTCGTCCTCCCCCTCCCCGCCACCTGGAGCTCCTCCTGGCGGGCGCAAGGAGTGGCCGTCCTCCTCCCCCGCGATGTCCTGCGGCGGCTGGCCTCTCCCCTCCTGCACGTCGTCCGCCAGCATCGTGATGTTGACTGCCACCTCGCTGACCACCTTCGGAGCCAGCCCCTTCCTCAGCCTCGCGACCGCGGCGGCGCCTGCAGCCGAAGGGACACTCTTGCACTCGAGGTGGAAGGAGCTCGCTCTGGCCGCGCCTGTGAACCCGCACGCCCTGCAAGCCACCAGCGGCATCCTGCGCACCAGCAGCCTCCCATCAACAGGCGCGAGGAGCACCAGGTCGTGCGACGCCTTCTGCTGCGCCTTCAGCCTGTTGTTGGCCCTGATCGCCTCGGCGACGATGCTGCCAGGGCACTCTCCTGATCTGCCTGACCATCTGCAAACCTCGCACCAGGGACGTAGGCCAGGCGGCCTCCTCCAGGCGCAGGCCATTCTCGCCGCTGGCTCCTTGCGCACTGGCAGCGCGCGCTGCACCTTCGTCTTGCCGTGCGTGGTGTCGCTGCCGTCGACCCAGCTGCCGACTGCCGCGCACCACATGGCTGCTCGTTCGACCACGTCTCGACTCCTCTCCAGGCACTCTCTGTCCCGCACGGGGAGGCGCCCGCTGGCCGCCGCAGCCTTTGCCGCCCTGTCCGCCAGTCGGTTGCCGTACCAATCTCTGTACAGCACCTCGCCCGCCGCCACCTGCCGCCGCGTGCTGTGGCTGGGCATCCACCTCAGGCTGACCTCATGCCCAAGGCCTCCTCGCTCGTCCAGCAGGTCCCAGGCTCGCCGCCACAGGTGAGCCCACGTGTACGCGTAGCCCGTGGTGCCCACCCTGCCGACCTTGTAGAAGCCGTCGTACACGTACTTGGAGTCGACCACCAGCACCGTGACCCCTTGGCCAAACCTGAGCGCCATGATCACCGCTGTGAGCTCCCCGCCGTTGATGTCCACGCAGTGGCCCTCCATCTGGCCAGCGATGGAGGCTCTGTACCCGTCACTGTGCGCCTGCAGCGCCACCGCACTCCAGCCAACTGCCGCCACCTCCTCGTAGCCCGCTTCGAACGCCGAGCCATCGAGAAACAGCTCACCTCCAGGAAGGGTGCCTCCATCGTGGTCGCCCTTCCAGCACACGTCGCTGCACGCTGGCGGGCGGCAGATGCCCCGCGGTGTCGGCCACAGGCACCTCTCAAGCAGCAGCTGCACCTCAGGCCTTCCGCTCTGCCTTCTGAGGCCTGCCAGGTCCTCTGGGAGCGTCAGCACCGCACGCCAGCACGGGCAGTCGAAGTGCCTGTGCATCAGCGTGCCCCTGGCTCCACACCTCAAGCACCCTGCACTGGGCGCCAGCCCCTTCTCCTCCTTGCGCGCCTGAGTCCACTGCCCATCGATGATGAGGGACCTCAGGTAGGCCTGCTCTCGCGCCGTCAACCGAACCCTGGTGCGAGGTGCTCCCTCCTCTCGGCGTGGCTCGTCGGCTTTCCTAGCGCAGCCAGAGGAGGTGAGCCTGACCAGGGGCTCCAGCTCGCCGCCACCCGCCAAGTGCGCGCACCCTGGGGCTTTGCTGACCTGCCTCCACTGCCAGCGCTGCACTGCTCTCTTCACCAGCTTGACCACGACCCACGGCGCGCAGTCGAAGGGCGCGATGGCCACGCCGTCGTCCATGACCCAGCAGTTGGCGGCGACGACGTCCCAGCCGATCCTCCTGAGGGACAGCACCGTCGCCGCGCACGGGCCCTGCACGTGCACCCAGGACACAGGCCGCTTGTCCTCGAGGCCCCGCCACACCATGTGCAGCGGCACCCACCGCTCCCAGACCGCACGCAGCAACATCAGCACCGGCTTGCAGGTCGCGTCGTAGATCGGGTCAAGGCCTGCCTGGAGCATGAGCCCGAGCGACCTGGACTTGCTCGCCGTGGTGTTGGAGACCGCGACGAAAGTGAGGGTCCTGGCGCGGTCCAGCTCCCCCTCCGTGCAGCCCGTGATGGCCGTGCCGTATCCGATGCACGGGTGCAGCCCCGTCTTCACAATCCTCTTGGTGGCCCTCCGCTTGGCCTTGACCACCTGCAGCACTTTGATCCTGCGCAGCCTGCCGCTCGCCTGCACCATCCTGTCGCGACGAACTGCTCGTCCTATCCT